ACTGCAGAAGCCCTACATATATGGGTGAATCCCAACAGTTTAAACAGACGTGAAGGTGTGATGTTAGCCGATGCATGGCAAATCCTGACTAATAAACAAAATAAAATTTGATATGTATGAACAAGTAGTCACACTTGGTCAAATTCCCGATTGTCTACGTCTTCTTATGGAGAGAATAACAAATCTATAAAAATTAAATTATATTTATAAAAATGTCAATTATTTTGTAACTATCCGGTCAAATCTTGATCACAGCTCATATGAGAATAGCAAATGTTTTATGACTGTTCCACCCACCCACCCCCCTTACACACACACACCATTGTATCCTGCATATACTGCATATACACATATATTTTAACAAAAGTAGACAAATTTTGAACGCCTGAGGTCAAAAAGTTTTTGATCATAGTTCATACAATTTTTGTTTTGTTTAGTACACCTATCGATTTATATTTTAAAAATAAGAGATGTACTTTTATATAAACATACAATTCTATTTATTTATTATACATATTGATACCTGTTGCATGACTCATGATTGGACAAAATGTTAAAAAACAAGATGTGTTCCTTTATATATAAACTTTGTTATGTTAATTTCGATTAATTTCCCTGAAGAAGTTCGGACCAGATTGCCGAACGTAACGTTGGAATTAATCATTTCAATTTCGCTGAGATTTTACAAATATAACTTTATAAATGTCTACTTCTCACTCAGCGCTCAATTATTTCGCAACTATCCGGTCAAATCTTGATCACAGTTCGTATGGATATGCTATTATGTTGTTGTCAAAATTAACTGATATTACCCATAATCTATGTAGAATTTTATTTATTGTTGATATACAAAACTAGATTCAATACTGTAGTGAAATGCTGAGAATTCCATTGTGTATCACAAGTACTGCTTTGAAATAGAGAAAATTATTATTATTATTATTAATATATGGGGTTATTTTTGCCTATTTCTGTACGTTGAGTTAGCAAGAAATGATTCCGTTGGCGAATCCTATAGTCTTTGACTGTTATACATGCACTAACACACACACACACACATACACACACACTGCAGAATAAAGCAAAATGCCTAAAGTGTTGATGGCTATTGGTGACTCACTGAGATAAATACTTACAATTAGTGAAAGTTATCAACGTGTTTGAAAACAAACGTTTTCACTAGATGTCACCTCTCTATTCACAAGCATCCGATTGACCAAGACAATATCTTTCATCTGTGACTATATTGAAATCAACAGCCTAGAAGTTTCTCTTTTCATCAACTACCTAAACGCACTACTTCTCAGATGCATGTTTAATATCCATTTCAAATTCAATTCTATGTACAGAAGGATGATGGAGCTATGGGATATCCTCTCGGTCCACTCCCAGCTGACTGCTTCATGGTGAGTCTCGAAAACAATATCTTCGATCTTTTGTTCTATCAAGTGCACCTATACAAGAGATACGTAGATGATACATTCGTAATTTATGATGAAAAATTTGATTTAGACTGTCTTCTCAAAACCTTCAATGGGGCACTCGCATCAACGTGAATCGAACATGGTAGTTCCATTCCTGGTTGTAATATTTGCCAGAAGACAAGACCACACGGTTCAAAGGTCAATATGTCGCAAGCCTACATGGACGGGACAGTTCATCAACTTCCAAATCTTTGTTCCACTGGTCCGAAAGCAAAACATAGTACGTGCATTATGTTCAAGGATTCGAACACACGTCAGGAAAAGAATTAAATTTATTATGTGAAACCCTACTAGAGAACGGGTATCTACCAAGATTCATGGACCGAAACATGGAAAAAAGTTTGTTCCTAAAGAAAATTCTCTTCACAAAACTGGAATTCAGAGGTGACATCGAAGCAGAAATTCTTAGAAACCGCCTTTCTAAATGTTTGAAGAAGACATTTCAAGTAACCACCTTACTCATCATGTTCTCTAGCAGATAATTTATCAGTCTAACGTTAAGGATAAGATGCTGCTTTTGTCCACCTCTATATGTTTACTTGTTCGTGTAGAGCGAAGTATGTCGGCCGTACGAAACGTTTAGTCTGCAAACGTATTCTGGAACACTCTCCAACTTAGCTGGCCAGCCATAGGAAAAGAGAAGCCCCATCCTCGAACACCTTGTCAACTCTGGACATCAAGCACACCCCACGCATGAATCCTTCACAGTACTACACAGAGTACCTCAATATGCACGAAAGAATTTCGAATACGCCATCTGTACATAGCTGCATCACTGGCTATTCGGTATGTAAAATCGGACCTCTGCATTCAAAAGCACCACATAAATTCACTTGCCCTACTATTATTATTCTCATCATCCATATTTTGTTATCACTCTATTACTGTTTATTAATAACACGGTGTTTTCATACGGATTTTATAAAAGCACTTTGTTGTCATTCCACAAGTTCTTGTCCACTCTACACAGTCATATTGATTAGTCATATTCTCACACTTATTACGTCATGCCAACTTCTACCTTCTTCTATAATTTTCAGTTAGTCATCCCATCTAGACTACATCTTATATTACATAATACGCTTTTCGAGGCTAATTTTTACCAATATCTGATTGGTCTTATGAATTCTTTGTTAAATATACTTGTGATTGTACAGCAGCTTGTGAAAATGAATCTTCGAAAAGAAAACTTTCTCCGCTGTTTACATTTTTTTTGTCTTATGTCTCAGTATGGGAAATAATTCATTCTAATTAGAAATGTCACTTTCGAATTGGCTCTGTCAGCCACTGTTGAACTAAAAACTGTAATTATACAATTTCACTAGGCTAATATACTTTTGTTAACTATGGTGACATTTGGTTGGTGATGGTCAGCAATGCAATCCAGGGTAAGCGTCTTGTCCTATTCAGAAGTTGTCAGATGGATATGCTTGCTCCACAGTGATTAATGGTATATCCATTGAGATTAGAACCTGACATTCATCATTTCAAATGCCAGATTGTTATTCACTGGCCAGAAATTGGGTGGCTTGAACTAGTTTGACTGTCTTTGAGCTGAGTCAAACCGGGTACATCGTTGATGAGCACAGCCTGAGACAAACAATCTGATAGCAAACACTACAGGTTGATATAAGTGCTATACAACTACTCATATCAGTCAATCATACAAATAAACTTCTTTTTTTTGATTACCCTTTATGGTATCAAGCAGATCACATATTGTAATTCGAATAATTCTGTTTCCCCGAGTTACTATAGTGAAATGTCACTCCTCAAACTGTGTAGGTTGAAAATTGCTTACTAATTTACCATCTGTGAAACTGACTTATCCACTGGGTCACTAAAGCCGCTTCTTATGAGATGGGAATTAGTTTAAAAGATGAGTTTTGGATGTAGGTGTCACATGCGTCTGATGAATCCTAAACAGGATGAAACATACATCTTGGATTTCAGTGCTAGTCACCACCAAACAGATGACATCATTTTAACCATTTGACATCGGTGAAGCATCCGTATCAGGGATGTGAATAATTCAATAGAATTTTTAGATTTTCCTGTCGATTGATTGGATCGAAGTGCTCGGTCTCAGGTCGATTAATAATAGTTAATATGACCCGTTGCACAAGAGGTGGCTCTCGTGGCCCAAGTGGTCTAGTGGATAACGCTTTGGCGTTTGAAACTATGGGTACTGGGTTCGAGCCTCGGTGGGAACATCATCACTCACTGAGAAATGCAGGTACATCCAGGTGACGAGTCCTAAATAGGACGAAATGCGCGTTGTCCTGGATTCCACTGCTAGTCACCATCCACAAATTAAATGTGTATAGTTCGCCTGAGTTTTTCTCTTGAACCTGACCTTTCAACTTACAGACGTTTCTATATCATGCTGACGCTATCATCAGTGTAACTTTGAAGACAAGTGAAACACTAAATTACTGATTAAAATTTTTATTATAATAACAAAAGAAATTTTAAACAATTAGAATAAAATTTCAGCTTAAAAGCAAAAAGCAAAAACTTTATTTTGAACGAAAGTGAGTGTATATTTTGATTATTTTTAATGTGTATGTGTGTGTGATTTATGTTAACAAAATTTTGATGAAATCATTTTTGATACTACCTATTTTTGATTCAAACATTTTAGGCCTTATATTTGTATACATAAATTAAAAGACGTGAGATAAGATGTGATAAGAATTCACATGTTGTTGTTTTTTAAAAAAAATGATAAAATAATCGACTAAAAATATACATTACAAAAGAATGTAAACTAAACATTTTCTAAATTCACCTATTACTTATCATTTCGCGGTAACTTTTGAAAAACGCGCTCCCGAAATTCATTGTTCAATAGTTAATTAGTTAGCGTAACGCACTACTAATCGTTCAACGCTCAATAAACAGATAGTGCTGCTACTACTACTAATAATAATACAAAAGCAAAAACGATACTTTATAAAAAAGGGGGGGTGACCAAATGTATTTTCTCTTCATCATCTTCTTCTTCTTCAGTACAAAACGAAAGGTTGATTTTCAGAGCAATAAGCATCGAAATAATAATAATGAAAAAAATACATTTGTTTTTGTTTTCTGCGTCTATGAGTTTGTTTATTCATGGCGGGTAAATTATGATATGTACGCGGGTGATTTGAAACAAAAAAACACTTAGCAAAAAGCCAATGAAATAAACTGTAAGCCATTCAAAAAATAAATAAAGAATTATTTATAATTAAAATATATTCTAATTAAGTAGCGTTGACCATAGTATATTATTATTGTTAGCAGTTGTAGTAGTGACAAGAGTAGTCTTTTGGGGGTTCTCTTTCATGTTCTCATTGTATTCCAAGGCATTATTTTGTATACATAGAGGGGTGGGGTGGGGATAAAGGAGAGGCAATTTGATAAACCGTCGAAGAATGCAACTGGTAACAACACACCAGAACAGCCATATATTCAGATTTCCGGATAAATACACATATGTATATGTATAGAAATTTTTGTAATAGTAATTATTGTTTATCGATGACCATGTGTATCACTATTATCAGGTGATATTGTTCTCGACGATGTATCTTGATATTCTTCCCATATTTGTGTTTCACTTGCCCATGAACGTTCATCTGATTCATGTTGTATTTGTATACGTGAAGGAATTAATTTATGATGATATTCATTAAATACTGATTGTTTTGTATTCATACGTGTAAATGATGCACTTTTACTATGTCCAGCTATGACATTAATTGATGGAAATAAATTTGATGAATTTATATTATCTATAATTGGATAGACTTCTTCTGATCGTGTTCTTGGAATGTAAAGTTCAGTACGATGTGAATGTGAAGCATGTTGGGGTTGGTGATTTTGTTGTTGGTATTTTGGTTCAGAGATGTCATCCTCTTCCAAATAATTTAATGATGGTTGAGACGGAGCTAACAGATTCACTTGTTTTGATAATATTAATGATCCCGGTTCATTATTTGGCATACCTGATGTAGTAATATGTCGTCTTGGCTCTAATTCTTCTGTAAATCTTAACCAACCAGCTTGTTTTGCTGTTAAGAAACTACACCATCGTGTAGGAATAAAATCATCGCTTGAAAATTGTCCTGTGGTATCAGTACTACGAATAACTGGTCTAGCTGGCCAATCAGCTGCGACCTCTCCATTTTCCCAATTTAATAAACCAAGACGTACAGCTTCTAATGGATTTAACCATGGTGATGGTTCCCCACCAGGACAGATGTGTGTCAACTGATAAACTTTACAACTAGCTGGTTCATCTAATTCATCTTCCATAGATTCAGTTGTTGGTGTTGATGGTTCTAATTGAATGATTTGTCGACCAGCGCCTTCTTCAATAGTAATCCATGTATTTGTTGCACTATCCAATAGGCGTATTTCATCTTCAGTTGTCTCAAGAATACCATTTAGTATAGCTGTATCTGGGGTTAATACTTCACCAGTGGCTGTATCAATCACGCTGGTTAAGTAGGCTTTACACCAACTGAAATAGACTCTTTCAATTAGTAGTAATATTGGTGTATTTGTAATAATACTTCTATCATAACTACTTGATGTACTAGCCAACCGAATCCGACCTTGTTGATAAGCTGTTTCTAGGGGGATGGCTACACCAGTCATTGGATCAATATATTCATTTACTTCACCTAATCTTATCCAACCTCTTCTTATTGCCATTGCAACTGGAGCAAATAATCCTGTTCTTGGACTGGCTACTTCACGAATATTGTTCCAATGCATACTGGTTGTTGAATACTGGGATTCAAACAGCTCATATTGTAATGTTCTTTGACGTAGTTGTACTAAGATCTTTGGCCTGTAGAATAAAGAAACACAAATATACAAAAACACACATATGTTAATATAAACAAATATAATTTACTCATCTAATCATTTAATTTAAACTGTCATATGGAAGACTTAGTACTTTAGATGCTGCAGTTACAATTAGTCAATTAGTTGAAAACTTTCATTATAGATAGTAAGATTTTACCCTTCGATTACACACATGTCAACCTTGCCTTAGACGAATTAGGGCGACTTAGGTTTGTGCAAGAACTGGTATGGAATCATTCTCTTGTCCACGCCAAGTAAAATACTAAATCGTTTCATCCTGGAGAGAATAAAGGATGCATTGGATATAGAACTCCACCAGCCCCACGGAACAAGCTGGATTCATGTGCTGATCAAATTACAACTCTACGCATCGTCATCACTGAACAAAGCATAAAATAGCAGTTAAACCCCATTCTACTTCAACTTCATCGAATTTGAAAGGGCCTTTGACAAATAGCGTTGACCGAGAAGTAATTTGGAAACTACTTCAGTACCACAGCGTGCCTCAAATCTTTATCAACCTCATTCAACAGCTGTATGACAATGCTACGTATCAAGTCATCCACGACAGAAAACTCAGTGAGGCGTTCGAAGTGTATACAAGAGTAAGAGAAGGCTGGCTGCCTATTATCACCGATGACATTCTTAATTGTCGTGGACTGGATTATGCGTCGAACTGTTGGGAGCGAGGAGTCAGGAATACGCTGGACGACTGGCAAGAAGACTCTAGAAGATCTGGATTTCGCGCCTGAATGATATGTCTAATGCCACACAAACTCGAAGACTTGCAGGCAGACGAAAACCAACAAACCGGCTGAAGAGGCAGTGAAGACAGGACTGCAGGTGAATATAGAGAAGATAGAGGTGATGAAAATAACCAACCAACCAACCAACATCAACAACAACCAGCACCAATCATCATCAAAGGGAGGGATTTCACAGCGGTTACCTCCTTCCTTCACTTATCTGGGAAGCATAGTTTCAAATACAGGTGTTAATTGCGATGGGTAGATAGATAGTTTGACAGACAGCTAATCGATATTATGTGACCCTTTTGTCACGATTATTGGCTAATTTAATGTAACTCTTCTCACCACGTGATGTGACCTTGAGTGTCTATTATTTCCTGTCACTCTATTATATGTATATGCAATTAACTGTCCATTATGTCCGTTCCTTCAATACTGTTCAGTACGTTTTTGTCTTTTCTTAGTGTAATTGTATGCTTTATTTTATGTTTTAGAAACAGATAAAGTTTAAGTTAAGTTACTCTGTTTTTAACTATAGTCAAGCGAGGACTCTGTATCGTCAGTACTGAGGACGGACTAAATCTGTAGGCAAAAGTAATCCTTCACCCTCTTTGTGTATTCAGAAACAGTTTATTATTACTCTTAATCTATATTGGTAATCCTTATTTGATTGGATTACCAAACGTGTGTGTTAATTATTCATAAATTTTTTTTGTCCCTTTTGTTTAATTTGATTTCCCTTAATTTTTTTCATGTATATATCGACTTTATAAGTAAGTATGTGTTCAGATTATTCGAAATGTGTAGCGCAAATACATCACACAGCTTTTCAGATAATCTCCGTCTTCTAATAACACCATCCAAAGAGAAATTCGTACTACTATTTGTCATATATAAACTTTCAAGTGTTGGTTTTGTACAAAACCAACACTTGAAAATTAATCTGATGCTCACTAGCGACTGGCCCTATTCAGGCAGTTAACCTGGGCTCCTAGTGGGAAGCCGTGACCAGTAGGGTACAGCAGGTCGAAGATGAGGCAGTAACTCATCGAAGAAGACATTTCGAAGTGGTCACGCTATGTCGTGAATTGGCAGAAGTTAGAATTCAAGAACCATTGGATCGGGTCCCAGTGGCTCAATGGTCTAAGAGCTCCCTAGCCTTGTAACCAGAGAGTCCTGGGTTCGAACCCCGGTGGGTGCGTACTACTGAGGAGTCCCGAACTAGGACGAGACAGCTGTCCAGTACTCCCAGGTTTTCCAGTGGTTCTCTAACTGATGTCAGCTCATGATTAAATCCTCCATATATAAACTTCACGTTCTTCAGTGGAACATCGGATTTCAAGCTAGTGGCTTGAAGTTTCTGTGGCAGTGTTTATTTTTACAGGATGGGGTTCCTAGCCACATGCCCAGCCTTTCCTCTTTACCAGTATTATATCTGGCTTAGCGAGGTAAATGAGTTCGGCGTCGGGGCTGGGGATCGAACCCCGGACCATGTTCATGGTCGGTGAGCGTCCTAGGCGCTATGCCACCGACGCTCCAGCCATCTAATGTAAACAAACTTCGATATAAGGATAAAACTTGGGCACTGTGGTAAGGTATAACTTCACCTTATTTCCTATCCAACACTAATATTATTTGTGAATGTACATTATCCTATAGTGGTTTTTATTCAATCAAATATCTAATCATCAATTTCACTCATGTATGCAAATGAAGGAAAAAAAGTTGTGTGAGTGACTTGATATGATTATGAGTGACATTAATTTGTGCTCGAAACATGGTCATCAGTTAATATTACTGCATAACACACTGTGTGATTTACCAAAATAAAATTGTATTTATAATGGAGTTATACTCTACCACGGTGTCCAAGTTTTATACTTATATCAATAATGACATAATCCTTTTTGAGTATATATATATATGAGGAGACACGACGGATGTAGAATAGGTGGGAGCTGGGTGCTTCGGTGCGTGGCGTCAGTGAAATACCACTGCTGCCATTGTTTCTTCACTTATTCAGTGAAACGGGAATGAATTGATATTTTGGTGTGAAGCACATGCTGGCATACGTGGTCTAATGCTGCGTGTGTTGGTGTCATGGTCATGTCAGATGAATGGTGGTGCAGATTGCGGTGTTTGAGTCTTGATGTAATGTGCGATCCGTTCTAAAGACTATGTCAGGCGGGGATTTTGACTGGGGCGGTACATCTGTCAAATGGTAACGCAGGTGTCCTACGGTGAGCTCCGTCAGGACAGAAACCTAGCGTAGAGTAAAATGGCAAAAGCTTACTTGATTATGAATTTCAGTACGAATACCGACCGTGAAAGCGTGACCTATCGATCCTTTTGAATATCATTTCCAGAGTTTGAAGCAAGAGCCATGAGAAAAGTTACCACAGGGATAACTGGCTTGTGGCAGCGAAGCGATCATAGCGACGTTGCTTTTTGATCCTTCGATATCGGTTCTTGCCTATCATTGTGAAGCAGAATTTACCAAGCGTTGGATTGTTCACTCACTAGTAAGGAACGTGAGCTGGGTTTAGACCGTCGTGAGACAAGCTGGTTTTACCCTACTAATGAGTACAGTAATCAGTGAAGTCCAATCTGACAGTTGCTATGGTAATCTTGTTTAGTACGAGACGAACCACAGGTTCAAACAGTTGGTATATATATATGCCTGATCGAAAGGCCAATGGTGCAAAGCTACCATCAAAGGGATTAAGACTGAACGCCGCTAAGTCCGAATCCTGTCCATATTTGCAACGTTGTGAATAGTGATTGGAAGAGTAGACTCACAAGTCTACTAGCGGTATCAATCAATGATCATACTGCAAGGGCAGAAGATATAAGAACGCATAATATTCATTTATTAGGTCGAAACAGATGTCCAGTACTCTCTAGTGGCTTTCAGTAATTCCCTAACTGATATCGATTCAAGGTAAAACTTGAAATACAAATCAAATCTTTACAAGCTAATACATGAAAAATTATAGAATAATTTACAAAAAATCTTGAGAAAATATTTCAGTACTTACGTGTGATGAATACCTTCGGTGAGCATTTCTACTTTATCAGAAATATCCGATTCTTCTTGGAAGGCTTCTGATGCCTTATGATGATGATGATGATGATGAAAAGACATAGTTTCAGTTGTCCATTCCTTTTGGAATCTTTTCTCTAAATTCAATTCTATTGGAATGACTTGAGTACCGGTGGTGACAAGCACTTTTTCAGGAGAATCATATTCGAATCTTGAATGTTGTGATTTATATTTTGTAAAAGAGGTTTCTTCAAATTGATGAATATCCCTCCCAATGAATTTGATGCCTGTTTTAATTACTTCACGTAATTCTGAATCAGCCCATTCTAAGTCACCTGTAGCAATAATATTGGCAAGATGAATAACTGATGTCTGAATGCTTTCATGAACCAAGTGTTTCTCAGTTTCTATACGTGAAGTCATAGAGGAATAGGGTTCTTTCGGTGTAATATGATAATGGTGATCATCGTGTGGATCAGTTTGTACGCCAAGTTCACAAACAATCAAATCTTCATCCTCTGTGTATTCTTCAGTGATTTTAATTTGACTAAAGACTTTCTTACTCTTTTTCTCAGTGATTTCAAGAAAACGTTCTTCAATCATATCAATAGGTTCACTAATTTGTTCTAATTGTGTTGTTTCTCTGTATTCTGAATCATGTTCAACCTGGGTCCATGCTTCAGCAATTTCATCTTTTATCAACTTTCTATGATAACTATCAAATATATCTTCACTTAGGGTTTCACGTCGTTCACTTTGTATCCCATGTCCATGATGGTCTGTTTGAGAGGCTGATGTTATATGCGTTGGACAGAATTGACATTGAACTTCACAGATTTGTCCTAGCCTTGAACGTATCATATATGCTTCATAGGTATAACTTGATCCACTTAAAGGTGATTCAGATCTTGATATTTCTGTATCCGATGGTGAAGAATGCGTATGTGAATCAAATGTTATCTGAATGCCTACATCTGCTGCTGCAACTGGTTCTTCCATAGCCATAGAAGCTTGTTCGCGTACTGAACCATATTCCCGTCGACTTTGATAACTTTCATAAACAGAATGAGTTGGTTGGCCTTTTTCCCAAACCTCTGTGACACTTCCTTCATGTAATAAGTGTTTAACATACTCAGAATAGGATGCAGTTGATGTAACTGGTACACCATTATCACTATCATCATGTTCACTAGATTCTTCGATTATAGTATCTTCACTTTCTTTGAAACTTCTAACACGATAATCCATAGAAGTTTCTTTCAAATAGACATCTCTTGTATGTCCTCTATACGCTGTGCTTATCAGATTGACTTGAGTCTCCGCATCAGTAACAAGTACTGTGGTACGTGGTGATGAATAGTAATAGCGTTCAATTAGCCGCTCACGTATATCTGTAGAACTTATATTTTGAAGTAAAACTGCAACTTGAGGCTCTTTTTCATCAGTCATTGTTTCACAATCTTGACTAGAAGCTTTAACTGTTTTCGAAGTTTCTTGTGTTAAAAGTTGAGTTTGACAACCGATATTTTCTTGAAGAGGCTCATAGATGTACTGTACTGAAAAGTTTTTCCTGTTTATAGCTGTGTGAAGAGTAGTCTGACTAGCAGAGACAGAGCGTAAAAATTCATGATGTGATTCAGACCTTTGAATGTATTGTTCTTCTGTTTGAACAGAAATATTAATTAAACTAGGCTGTAGCACCTTCAAATGATCATCAACTAATTCCCATTCAAGGTCTCCAGAATCAAGTGGAACCTCTTCTTCAATGACAGGAACAGGCAAAGATTCATGACCGATTAAGTGATAAGATGAAGAATCACATAAGACAAGAGCAACATCACGAGAAGCAGACACCATGTGAGAAGCGGAAGTTACATAAGGGCTAGGAATAGACGTAGACAATTGTAAACCATGAGAATTATCAATAACAGTAACAGGTAAAGAAGACTGAACAGAGACACTCGAATAAGAAAATTCAGGTGTACAAACAACTTTATCAACCAAATCAGAAACATGGGATTTAGAGATATCAGAAACAGTAACTAAAGGAAGAGTTTGACATGATGAATCAGAAAAAGTAATGGTAGAAGAATCCGGATAAAATTTCATCATGTCAAAGGAAAGTGATTGCGTCACGAGAGAGGAACTGACGAGAGGTGCCGGCTTCTCGAAAGATAAGTGTTCACTGGAATCGACAAGGTGTGCAGAGACACTGGTCGTCTGAGTCGCGTTCTCAGTCGTAGAGCGTGGTTTCGAAACTTGAACAAGCGATTCTGAGTATGAGGAACTAACTGAAACCATCTTATCACCTTTCAGTGTCTGTCCACCGATATCCGATGAGGCTTTCGGCACTGTGTCGATTTGCTGGTCGACAGTGGTGTGTTTGAAGAATTGTGTGGCTTCGACTAGTGGTGCTGGTTGAACAACCTGAGCTTCTAACATGTGCGTGGTGAGACTGACGACAGGTGTGCTCACTCTGCCCACTTGCACTTCAGCATTCACACTGGGTCTCTTCACAAATGATGCGACTGAATCCAGCATACCTTCCGGCGTCTTCATTGACACACCGGTCGCGCTGTCCACAACACACGCCACTTCCGTCATCGTCTGCATACTGGCTTCCAATGTTTGAGTGCGTTTCACTGGTTCTTGAACTGGAACAACTGGCGGCTCGACTTTCACTGGTGCATGCAACTCACTCTGAGAATCCACCATACACAATCGGGCAGGTTTCGCCTGCAACGTGGCGTCGGTGCGTTTCAACGACAAGTGACATTCACTGTCGAGCAGAGATTTGTGTAGGTCGGTCTGTCCACCGACATCGGATGAGGCTTTCGGTACTGTGTCGATTTGCTTGTCGACAGTGGTGTGTTTGACGAATTGTGTGGCTTCGACTAGTGGTGCTGGTTGAACAACCTGAGGTTTGGGTGATTCTGATGCCACGGTCTCGGTGACGAGAGGGGCTTTGACGTGGACGCTTGGCTTCTGAACAATCACGTGTTCACTGGACTCGACGACGTGTGCAGTGACACTGGTCGTCTGTGTGGCGATCTCAGTCGTGTGACGTGGTGTTGGCTGTTTGACGGGCGATTCTGCGTATGAGGCACTAACTAATACCATGTGATCAGGTTTCTCAGTCTTGACCTCCTTCTGCTCAAAGCCGACGACGACAGGTCGTTCGGGTTGAGTGACTTGGACGGCTTGCTCTGCTACTCCGACTGCTTCGGTCAAGGTGTGGCTGGTGGTCTGCTTCACTTGGTAGCTGGTACTCATGATACGAGTGGGTACAGAAGTGGTGAACTGTACACTGACATCATGTTTGACGGGTTGATCAACCTTTGTGTGCGCAGATAATTCCGAGTCCACGTAGGTCGATATAGATGGTGCAGGCTTCTCAGGAATGACAACAGGGGCGGCGAACTGACTTTCGGCCTGACATATACTCGGGAACTTGCTTGTCTGAAGAGCGACACTCGATGTCTTGATTGGAACAGGAGCCGGCGCGGCCGGAGGTTGAACGGTCTGACAAGCCGTCTGTTCGGTCTTCACATACAGATGTCCACAACTGGTACACAGACTCGGCTCTGCCGGTCTCGATTCTAACTTGTGCGTGGTGAGACTGACGACAGGTGTGCTCACTCTGCCCACTTGCACTTCAGCATTCACACTGGGTCTCTTCACAAATGATGCGACTGAATCCAGCATACCTTCCGGCGTCTTCATTGACACACCGGTCGCGCTGTCCACAACACACGCCACTTCCGTCATCGTCTGCATACTGGCTTCCAATGTTTGAGTGCGTTTCACTGGTTCTTGAACTGGAACAACTGGCGGCTCGACTTTCACTGGTGCATGCAACTCACTCTGAGAATCCACCATACACAATCGGGCAGGTTTCGCCTGCAACGTGGCGTCGGTGCGTTTCAACGACAAGTGACATTCACTGTCGAGCAGAGATTTGTGTAGGTCGGTCTGTCCACCGACATCGGATGAGGCTTTCGGCACTGTGTCGATTTGCTTGTCGACAGTGGTGTGTTTGACGAATTGTGTGGCTTCGACTAGTGGTGCTGGTTGAACAACCTGAGGTTTGGGTGATTCTGATGCCACGGTCTCGGTGACGAGAGGGGCTTTGACGTGGACGCTTGGCTTCTGAACAATCACGTGTTCACTGGACTCGACGACGTGTGCAGTGACACTGGTCGTCTGTGTGGCGATCTCAGTCGTGTGACGTGGTGTTGGCTGTTTGACGGGCGATTCTGCGTATGAGGCACTAACTGATACCATGTGATCAGGTTTCTCAGTCTTGACCTCCTTCTGCTCAAAGCCGACGACGACAGGTCGTTCGGGTTGAGTGACTTGGACGGCTTGCTCTGCTACTCCGACTGCTTCGGTCAAGGTGTGGCTGGTGGTCTGCTTCACTTGGTAGCTGGTACTCATGATACGAGTGGGTACAGAAGTGGTGAACTGTACACTGACATCATGTTTGACGGGTTGATCAACCTTTGTGTGCGCAGATAATTCCGAGTCCACGTAGGTCGATATAGATGGTGCAGGCTTCTCAGGAATGACAACAGGGGCGGCGAACTGACTTTCGGCCTGACATATACTCGGGAACTTGCTTGTCTGAAGAGCGACACTCGATGTCTTGATTGGAACAGGAGCCGGCGCGGCCGGAGGTTGAACGGTCTGACAAGCCGTCTGTTCGGTCTTCACATACAGATGTCCACAACTGGTACACAGACTCGGCTCTGCCGGTCTCGATTCTAACTTGTGCGTGGTGAGACTGATGACAGGTGTGCTCACTCTGCCCACTTGCACTTCAGCATTCACACTGGGTCTCTTCACAAATGATGCGACTGAATCCAGCATACCTTCCGGCGTCTTCATTGACACACCGGTCGCGCTGTCCACAACACACGCCACTTCCGTCATCGTCTGCATACTGGCTTCCAATGTTTGAGTGCGTTTCACTGGTTCTTGAACTGGAACAACTGGCGGCTCGACTTTCACTGGTGCATGCAACTCACTCTGAGAATCCACCATACACAATCGGGCAGGTTTCGCCTGCAACGTGGCGTCGGTGCGTTTCAACGACAAGTGACATTCACTGTCGAGCAGAGATTTGTGTAGGTCGGTCTGTCCACCGACATCGGATGAGGCTTTCGGCACTGTGTCGATTTGCTTGTCGACAGTGGTGTGTTTGACGAATTGTGTGGCTTCGACTAGTGGTGCTGGTTGAACAACCTGAGGTTTGGGTGATTCTGATGCCACGGTCTCGGTGACGAGAGGGGCTTTGACGTGGACGCTTGGCTTCTGAACAATCACGTGTTCACTGGACTCGACGACGTGTGCAGTGACACTGGTCGTCTGTGTGGCGATCTCAGTCGTGTGACGTGGTGTTGGCTGTTTGACGGGCGATTCTGCGTATGAGGCACTAACTGATACCATGTGATCAGGTTTCTCAGTCTTGACCTCCTTCTGCTCAAAGCCGACGACGACAGGTCGTTCGGGTTGAGTGACTTGGACGGCTTGCTCTGCTACTCCGACTGCTTCGGTCAAGGTGTGGCTGGTGGTCTGCTTCACTTGGTAGCTGGTACTCATGATACGAGTGGGTACAGAAGTGGTGAACTGTACACTGACATCATGTTTGACGGGTTGATCAACCTTTGTGTGCGCAGATAATTCCGAGTCCACGTAGGTCGATATAGATGGTGCAGGCTTCTCAGGAATGACAACAGGGGCGGCGAACTGACTTTCGGCCTGACATATACTCGGGAACTTGCTTGTCTGAAGAGCGACACTCGATGTCTTGATTGGAACAGGAGCCGGCGCGGCCGGAGGTTGAACGGTCTGACAAGCCGTCTGTTCGGTCTTCACATACAGATGTCCACAACTGGTACACAGACTCGGCTCTGCCGGTCTCGATTCTAACTTGTGCGTGGTGAGACTGACGACAGGTGTGCTCACTCTGCCCACTTGCACTTCAGCATTCACACTGGGTCTCTTCACAAATGATGCGACTGAATCCAGCATACCTTCCGGCGTCTTCATTGACACACCGGTCGCGCTGTCCACAACACACGCCACTTCCGTCATCGTCTGCATACTGGCTTCCAATGTTTGAGTGCGTTTCACTGGTTCTTGAACTGGAACAACTGGCGGCTCGACTTTCACTGGTGCATGCAACTCACTCTGAGAATCCACCATACACAATCGGGCAGGTTTCGCCTGCAACGTGGCGTCGGTGCGTTTCAACGACAAGTGACATTCACTGTCGAGCAGAGATTTGTGTAGGTCGGTCTGTCCACCGACATCGGATGAGGCTTTCGGCACTGTGTCGATTTGCTTGTCGACAGTGGTGTGTTTGACGAATTGTGTGGCTTCGACTAGTGGTGCTGGTTGAACAACCTGAGGTTTGGGTGATTCTGATGCCACGGTCTCGGTGACGAGAGGGGCTTTGACGTGGACGCTTGGCTTCTGAACAATCACGTGTTCACTGGACTCGACGACGTGTGCAGTGACACTGGTCGTCTGTGTGGCGATCTCAGTCGTGTGACGTGGTGTTGGCTGTTTGACGGGCGATTCTGCGTATGAGGCACTAACTGATACCATGTGATCAGGTTTCTCAGTCTTGACCTCCTTCTGCTCAAAGCCGACGACGACAGGTCGTTCGGGTTGAGTGACTTGGACGGCTTGCTCTGCTACTCCGACTGCTTCGGTCAAGGTGTGGCTGGTGGTCTGCTTCACTTGGTAGCTGGTACTCATGATACGAGTGGGTACAGAAGTGGTGAACTGTACACTGACATCATGTTTGACGGGTTGATCAACCTTTGTGTGCGCAGATAATTCCGAGTCCACGTAGGTCGATATAGATGGTGCAGGCTTCTCAGGAATGACAACAGGGGCGGCGAACTGACTTTCGGCCTGACATATACTCGGGAACTTGCTTGTCTGAAGAGCGACACTCGATGTCTTGATTGGAACAGGAGCCGGCGCGGCCGGAGGTTGAACGGTCTGACAAGCCGTCTGTTCGGTCTTCACA